CCATGTCTTTCAGATAGTGCCTCTTCAAGAACCTGGAGTAACGTAGGACCTGCTGGGTGGGTGATAGGATTGGGTGAAATTACGTACACCCAGAGATATCAAAAAGAGGGAAAATGGAATTGGATAATAGGTAGATTACTTACTCACACTAATAATAACAGTTTGTAATATAAGGAATACATGTGAACTATTTATGGATTTACATTGGTATAGACTTTTGTATATTGACACAAATTTGAATTATATTTATTATACATAATGTTTCTATTTTGTTTAGAATATTTGTAACAACTATATAAGGTTATTTTGTCAGATTGTATAAATGCATGATTCTACCTGTTTAAAACATATTTTTATTGACACAATTTTATGATATATTTATCATATTGCATTATGTAACTCTACCTTTGATCAAGATTTTAATCCATTTTGAGGTCATTGTCCTTCTTTACTGCATAGTTGTTTAAAGATTCTTTTATATTCTGATATGAAATCTTATTCTTCAACACTGATGAGACTTTGGTTGATTGCTCAGTCAGTTGTCTCTGTCAACTACTATACTTTTAGGAAGCTACTAGACTGCACTACCTGCCTACTCAAATAATATTATTGCTCTTCTCAGGTCTTTGATGGGGTTGAAGATGGGATAATCATGCTTACCATCCTCTTATGATCTAGTTAAGCCATTTCTACAACAACATGGACTCCTTAGGATAGAATGCTTACCAAACCATTAAGATGTATTCCTTCCTTAATATTGATTATGCTTATTGTAATTCTGGTTTTTTGCTTTGGTTTTTTGAGACAGGGTTTCTCTGTGGTTTTGGAGCCTGTCCTGGAACAAGCCCTTATAGACCAGGCTGGTCTCGAACTCACAGAGATCCGCCTGTCTCTGCCTCCCAAGTGCTGGGATTAAAGGCGCCACCACTGCCCGTCTGCCTATTGTAATTCTAACTTGACATCTGTTTCTTGTGTACATAGTTTTTTATAGGGTTTGGAATTTCTTATTAAGTTAAATGGGTAGGTGCTGTGAGAGCTCCTCCACTCAATAGCTTTAAGATATCAATCCACTTGGGCATGGTCTCTAACAGTATAAATGAATCTGTAAAGTGTGTGGTTGCTTTCTTGAATCCAGCTCTTGATTCTGGATGCTAGCTATATTGTATATAAGATCCATTGCTCTGTAGATGCTCATATGACCTATAAAAGCCCAAGGTATTTTTACACTCTAAGTTGGTGTTTTCAAAATTCAAAGATTTATTTAGTACTCACATAGTTCAGGGTTTCTCACTCTGACTTGTACAGCCTTCAAAATTCATCATTAAAACATGAACTCAGTGTTCCAAGTTTAGGAAGATCTTGTCTTTCTCTATGTCCTATATAGAATAGATTTATGTATGTATGTGTTTGTTTCCTTTTTGTTGTATATGTTCTGGGAATTGTGAATTGTAGGCTGACTGTCCTCTGTTTTATATCAAAAAGCCACTTAGGAGTGAGTACATATATTTTTCTTTCTGGTTCTGGGTTAACTCACTCTTTTAGGATGTTTTTTAGATCCATAAAATTGCAAATAAATTTCAAGATGTAATTATTTTTATCCACTGTGTAGTACTCCATTGTGTAAATATACCACAATTTCTTTGTCCATTCTTCAGTGGAGGGGTTGTTTTCAGGTTCTGGCTCTGACAATGTTGCTGTGAACACAGTTGAGCATTTGTCCTTGTGGTATGATTGAGCATCCATTGAGTACATATTCAAAGGGCATGGCTGGGTTTTAAGATAAGTTGTTTCCTAATTTTCTTTCATTATTTTTTTTAATTTTTGGTTCTCCAAGACATGGTTTCTCTTTAGCTTTGGAGCCTGTCCTGGAACTAGCTCTTATAGACCAGGTTGGTCTTGAAGTCACAGAGATCTCTCTCTGCCTCCCAAGCACAGAGATTAAAGGCATGCCTAACAACCAGGAAGGTGGCTTTCTAACTTTCTACGAAATAACCATACTGATATTCCAAGTAGCTGGCTCAGTTTGTAATCCCATCAGCAATGGAGGAGTGTTCCCTTAACTCTACATCCTTTCCAGCTTAAGTTGTCATCAGTGTTTTGATCTTGCCTATTGTTACAGATATAAGAGTGTATCTCAGATTTGTTTTGATTTTCATTTCTCTAATGACTAAGGAGTTTGGAAATTTCCTTAAGTGTCTCTCAGTCATTTTAAATTCATATGTTAAAAGTTTTTTATTTAGGTCTGTATTCCATTTTTTCTTGGATTATTTGTTCAAAAGATGACCAATTACTTAAGTTCTTTTTTTTATTTTTTTATTGAGAAAAGGAGAAAAAAAACAAGTTTTCACCTCCTCCCAGCCTCCCATTTCCCTCCCCCTCCTCCCACCATTCTTCCCCTCCTCCCCCTCCCCCCACTCCTTTCCCCCTCCCTCTCCAGTCCAAAGAGCAGTCAGGGTTTTCTGCCCTGTGGGAAGTCCTAGGTCCTCCCTGCTCTGTCCATATCTAGGAAGGTGAACATCCAAACTGGCTATGCTCCCACAAAGCCAGCACATTAAGCAGGATCAAAACCCCGTGCCATTGTCCTTTGCGTCTCATCAGCCCTCATTGTTCACCATGTTCAGAGAGTCCAGTTTTATCCCATGCTTTTTAAGTCACAGTCCAGCTGGCCTTGATGAGCTCCCAGTAGATCAGCTCCACTGTCTCAGTGGGTGGGTGCACCCCTCGTGGTCCCGACTTCTTTGCTCATGTTCTCCCTCCTTCTGCTCCTCATTGGGACCTTGGGAGCTCAGTCCAGTGCTCCAGTGTGGGTCTCTGTCTCTATTTCCATCCATCACCAGATGAAGGTTCTATGGTGATATGCAAGATATGCAAGTTAGAAGGGAAGGAGGGGGGGCCTTGGGGAAACAGGAGGATTGGGATCAAGGAAGGTTGGACAGGGGAGCACGGAACCACAATTCTTAGTTAAGGGAGCCACTGTAGGGTTGGCAAGAGACTTGAACCTAGAGTGGCTCCCAGGAGCCCAAGGCAATTTCCCCAGTTAGTTCCTTGGGCAGCTGAGTATAGGGAACCTGAAATGACCCTATACTATATTAATACTTAAGTTCTTAATATGTTTTGAAGATCAGTCTTCTGTCCAATGTGGGGTAGGTGAATATCTTTTCCCATACTCCAGGCTGCTTTTTTTGTATTGTTGATCATGTCCTTTGTTTTACAGAAGTTTTTACTTCAGATCTCATTTATAATTTTTCTCAGTGTCTGTGATGCCTGGGGTTATAATTTAAAAGTGGTTCTCTTTACCAATGTGTTCAAGTGTAATTCCAATATTCTGTTTTATGTAGTTCAGTGTGTAGGTCTTTATGTTGTAGTCTTGAGTTCTGTTCATGATGATAGATGTGGATCTACTTTCATTCTTCCCCACATTGATATTCAGTGATGCCAGCACCATTTGTTAAATGTTTTCTTCATTTTTTATTTTTTGGTGCTTTGTCAAAAATCAGGTGTAGTAGGTGAGTGGAGTGATGTCTGGGTCTTAGCCAGCATCAGTTCCATTGGTCCTCCTATCTGTTTTTGTGCCAACACCAGGCTCTCTTCAGTACTGCAGCTCTCTTTTCATTTGAAGAAGTCAGGGAATGAAATTATTTTTTATATATAATTGTTTTGACTATTTTGCATTTTTTTGGTTTTCTATATGAAGTTGGTGTTTTTATTTTGAGATCTGTGAAGAATTTTCTGATATTTACATGGGAATGGTAGTGAGCCTGTAGATTGCTATGTTGATTTCTACCTAACAAGGGCAAGGGACATCTTCCCATTCTCTGCTGTCTTCTTCAAAGATTTAATGTTCTTTTCCTACAGTCCTTTCACTTCTTTATTTGGTAATTCCATAATATTTTATATTATTTGCGGCTACTGTTAAGAGTGATGTTTCCATCATTTATTACTTCAAACCATCTTTCCTTTTCAGAAAATATTCCTTGTAACCACCTTCTATCTACCTTCCTGATGACCACTCCCAATCTTCTGATAACTATAATTATATTCCCAACTTCTAAGGATACTTTTATACAAAACATACAAGTAAGCGTATGAGTGATTTGACTTTTCATGCCTCTCATATTTCAGTTAATGGTATCCTTTGAGCTTAATAACATTGTTGAAACTTTTTAGGATTTTATGGTTGTGGTTTGAGAGCCAAATTGTGTCTTTCACAAGGCCTTTTTAATGTTTTGGCTGTTTTCAGGGAGATGTTGTTTCGTTATCTAGTTCTAGATTCAGAGACAAAGTTCTTTCCTTTGGCTCTGGTTTGAAAACCACAGTTGGAATACCCTTCCTGTAACCAATAAGGTTTTATCCATTACTTTGCTGGTTCAAACTAAAATAAAGAGAGGTATAATCATGCATAAACAAATTGTTGACATTATCAAACTTTTTTCTACACAGTAACTGATTTAGTTAACTGACAATAAGTGGCTTAACATATGAAAGCACAATTTAAAATAAGGCCCCAGTTTTTTCCTGAGGTCCAAAAGATTATGATAATATGCACAAGCTTTCTCAGATGACTACACACAAAGTCGTACTCTTCTGTGAAGCACAAAACAATATGACACTGAATTCATTTATAGAGTTTCACTACAGTATAATTTTTTTTCATGGTTTTGAAAAATACACAAATTAATTCAGGGTTTCTCTACAGAAGGGCTCATATTATGTATTTGGAGATAATTGTGAAAAAGAATTTACCACATTCCATTCACAGGTATCTCTAGAGTATGTTACATTTTAAGCCTTTGAAGAGTACAGAGGTCTGCAAATGCCTTATCACACAGATATCATTTCTAGGGTTTCTTTCCAGTATGTGTTCTTCTATGCATTTGAAAAGCACCATGTTGTACAAAGGCCTTACCATACTGATTACATTCATAGGGTTTCTCTCCAGTATGTGTTCTTTTATGCAAAAGATGATTATGTCATGCAAAAGGCTTACTACAGTGATTACATTAATAGAGTTTCTCTCTAGTATGTGTTTTTTTATGGCTTTGAAGATTGCTGTGGCGTGCAAAGGCCTTACCACACTGATTACATTCATAGGGTTTCTCTCCAGTATGTGTCCTTTTATGGTATTGAAGAGCAAAGTTCTGTGCAAAGGCCTTACCACACTCATTACATACATAGGGTTTCTCTCCAGTATGTCTTCTTTTATGGTATTGAAGAGCAAAGTTCTGTGCAAAAGCCTTATCACACTCATGACATACATATGGTTTCTCTCCAGTGTGTCTTCTTTTATGATCTTGAAGATTACTCTGAGTTGCAAAGGCCTTAACACACTGATTACATTCATAGGGTTTCTCTCCAGTATGTGTTCTTTTATGGTATTGAAGAGCAAAGTTCTGTGCAAAGGCCTTACCACACTCATTACATACATAGGGTTTCTCTCCAGTGTGTGTTCTATTATGATTTTGAAGATTACTCTGAGTTGCAAAGGCCTTACCACACTGATTACATTCATAGGGTTTCTCTCCAGTATGTGTTCTTTTATGGTATTGAAGAGCAAAGTTCTGTGCAAAGGCCTTACCACACTGATTACATGCATAGGGTTTCTCTCCAGTATGTATTCTTTTATGGCTTTGAAGATTACTGTGTTGTGCAAAGGCCTTACCACACTGATTACATTCATAGGGTTTCTCTCCAGTATGTGTTCTTCTATGCAATTGAAGATGATTAAGTCGTGCAAAGGCCTTACCACACTGATTACATTCATAGGGTTTCTCTCCAGTATGTGTTCTTCTATGCAATTGAAGTTGATTAAGTCGTGCAAAGGCCTTACCACACTGATTACATTCATAGGGTTTCTCTCCAGTATGTGTTCTTCTATGCCTTTGAAGATCACTGTGACATGCAAAGGCCTTATCACACTGATTACATTCATAGGGTTTCTCTCCAGTATGTGTTCTTCGATGTTCTTGAAGAGCACTGTAGCGTGCAAAGGCCTTACCACACTGAGTACATTCATAGGGTTTCTCTCCAGTATGTGTTCTTTTATGGCTTTGAAGATTACTGTGGTGTGCAAAGGCCTTACCACACTGATTACATTCATAGGGTTTCTCTCCGGTATGTGTTCTTTTATGCAATTGAAGGTGATGATGACGTGCAAAGGCCTTACCACACTGATTACATTCATAGGGTTTTTCTCCAGTTTGTATTCTCTTATATGTTTGAAAAACAGTACATTGTGCAATGGCTTTGCCACCCTTATTATATTCATAGGATGTCTCTCTAGTATATATTCTTTTAGTCTTTTGAAGATGACTCTGATCAGGAAAGACCTTACCATGCAGATTACATTCATATGATTTCTCTCCAGTATGTGTTCGTTTATGACTTTGATGATTTTCATAAAGAAGAAAGTCTTCATCATCTTGACCATACTCATAGGGATTCTCTCCAGTGTGTGTTCTTTTATGCATTTCAAAATGATTGTGATAAGAAAAGACTTCATCACATTGCTTAATTTCACAGCATTTTTCTCTGCTATGTGTTTTTTCATTCCTTAGAAGATGAGTGTTATAAGACAAGACTTCACCCCAGTGAGAATATACTGAAAACTTCTCTCCAGTTTGAGTTCTTTCGATCCTGCACGGATAATTTACACATGTAAAAGCTTTACCACATTCAATGAAGTTGAACCTCATACCGATATAAATTAATTTCATATTTTTTTCAAATTGTAAAAAGGAATCAACTATCAAGGTTTTATAGCTTTGTTTAAAATAATGTTTTGTTCTCTCATTAGGTATCATTTACATCTAGAAAAATATTTGTGATGAGAAATTCCATTGTGCCAGTTTATCTTTTCATCTATAACTATATCATACTTTACTTTTCTAGGATATTTTTTACATTTTTGAAGAGAACTGCATGTACTGAGTGCTTTACCAACGTTACTCCATTCATAATATTGTGAACCACATTTGGTAAGTGAACTAAGACACCCAGAAGTATTTGCATAGACCTAGAACTCATGTTTGTTTGTTTGTTTTTGTTGTAATGTGAGATTGTATTTTGGTATTAACCATGATGACAGAAAATAAATTAACTTTGTATTTTTGGATCAAATTAAACATGTATACTCTACATAGGAACTACAGTTTATCTTCTTAATTGTTCTTAAGGAGAGGTATGGTAAATCTTTTTGTATTCCTATTCTCATATACTTGTGTCAAGAGTGACATATCATATATATGAAAAAAAGAATAGTGTATAAAAGATTTCTAAATGAATCTACAAGGTTCGACTTTCACAGACTTGTTGTATAGATATTAAGGTTTCTCCACAACAACTGCCCCTTGACCCTTGACTAGTCTGGTTTCACTAAACTTAGCACAGTCACAAAAAGTATGAGTGATACAAGGCTTACCATGGGCTCTTGGATTAGTAGAAAGTTTTGCAGCTATACTCATCATCACTGAAATATGTATACATTTTCTGTCATGAATAGCAAGAAGCAAATGAAGCAGCAGTTCTACAACATAGCTCTCATGGTGCTATAAATCAAATGGTGATATCTGTTCAGGTATTGCTACCTAGAATTTTTCTTAAATGAAGGCTTTACAGATGCAATTCACATACATGAAATTGAGGGATATGGATCTGTGAGAACTGAATAACCATCAATATATTTAAAGCTGTGGTTATTTACACTGTTGCTTTTGTTTTAAAGTTCCAGAACACATTACAAACTATTCAAGGGAAATTGTTATGAACTTGCCCAAGAAAATTACCTTGCATGTCTTCTAGAACATTGACAATGCTCTTCGGTGTTAAGGTCTTCCCAAATGTATCCTGAAATACAGTACCAGAACATATGTTATATTATTTAAGAATGTGCAACAATTAGCTTATTATCTTAAGTGCACCTAAGAACTGGGACTGTGTTATTTACCTCATTCTTCTTTCTCTAAAAAAATTACAGAACAAAATCATTAACCAAAGAAAAGTTGTCTCCATATTTTGAAACATGAAAGAAATTCATTTTCACCTATAGTAGTTAGGTTCCTGTAGGTCTCCAGCATCACATCTTTGTAGAGATTCTTCTGGGAAGGATTCAGTAAATCCCACTCTTCCTTAGTGAAGTCAATGTGCACATCATCATAGGTCACTTCCTTCAAAAATATACCATATATGAGTACAGTGTAAGTATGACAGTAAAATGCATACTTCTTTGAAAGTATAGTTTTATGATTCTGGTGTTCCCCATTCTTGTTCCATGACATAGACAGTCACTTTAGAAGGAAATTGAAAAGGAGAATCAATTCTGTTATTTCTGTGTCCTTTGTATAGGATACCTCCTTATAAGAGCAGTATCTATACACGGGGAAAGAAAAAGAGAAAAGATCAACAGTATGTTGTATGCATGAGAAAATTAATGACTACAGAAAGGAAAAAAAAGATGGACAAAATGGGCATATTGGTGTTTTTTTCCTTTAGCACAACACTCAGAAAACAGAGGTGTAGCCGGGCGGTGGTGGCGCACGCCTTTAATCCCAGCACTTGGGAGGCAGAGGCAGGCGGATCTCTGTGAGTTCAAGACCAGCCTGGTCTACAGAGCTAGTTCCAGGACAGGTTCCAAAGCCACAGAGAAACCCTGTCTCGAAAAACCAAAAAAAAAAAAAAAAAAAGAAAACAGAGGTGTATATATTTGTCTGTGAGATGAATGCCAGTCAAGATTTAACAGAACTGCTTATCCATTTTTGGATACCATGTATCTTGTCAGAGGTTGAGGCATGAACATGTCTTTGCCCAAAGGCCAGTTTTGAAAACAAGAAAACAAGATTTGAGTGTCTTCGGTGCTCAACATTCTCTGGAAAATAGATCACTGCTACCAGTAGTAATTGTGTCTCACTTCAACAGTACTCTAGTTTATTTAAATTCCATATTTTACAGCTTTTTGAAGTGGTTAAAGATTACCTATCTATGCAAAATATATTCTTTATGTGTCTAAAAAACCTGATTATTCTAACTATAAGTATGACAAACACAGATGACTATTGATCTCTAATTCTAATACCTATATAACTTAAAGACTAAGACTTCATATTAGAATATTGTACAATAAACAACTGTACAACAAATGAGGACAATGGGCTCAAAATGTAACCAATGAATAAATATCTTGATCAGTGGAAGAAATGTACATTGCAATTTGATAAATATATTTATCAATATATAAAATGTTTTAAGCAGAAGTAGATGCATGAATGCATACAATATTCAATATTTAACATTATATCAATGTACAAAAATCTATATCAAAGCAATTGCCTATAAATTATAACTCACAAGCATTCACTCTATTACTCACTATTATTATTAATGTATGTAAACTCACACTAATCTATTATTCCATCCAATTTTCCCTTTTTTTCAAAGAAATCCCTGAGCCCATAAAATTTCCCTTCTAACCCACAACCCTATACCAATTATAATCAACCCCTAAATGATTTCCCTAACCCTAGGACAAACTTTGTTGGAAGTCTTTTAGAATTACTTCCAGCTATCATGGGGGTGATGTTCTTTCTATGGGATCCTGTGAAAGTAAAATGATGGTTACATTCCAAGATTACTGTCTGGTAAAATTGCAAATAGTCTCTGAGTATTTTGTAAAAGTTTTCTGAGATTCCTCTTATAAGGTCTGTCTAGAACTTTGTAAAAAGTGGACCATTTCAGCTAACCAAGTTGGAACCATCTTGAGCAGCTGGTATGCAAAGCAGGTCTGGTAGTAACACTATCATCATCATGCCATCATATCAACCAGGTTGAGTTGTTGTTGTGGGGCCCCAACTTCTTCCTGGAAACTTCAAAATTACTGCAGTAAAATTCATTGTTCATTGTGGAAAACATAAACATTATTTATATAGTCATATACAGACATATATATTCAGTGACATGTACAATAGGGACAAAAATAGAAATGTAGAAAAGTGAAAATTTTTCTAAATTCCTTTTTCTTTCTGTCGCATGCTCCTGACATGAGAGAAAAACTCTGAATTTTTATTTTAACGACATGCTTGGATTTATACAGGGACAGAGCTAGTGTCCATCTCCAAAACCAGCTCTATATATTCATAAATACACATCCACTTACAAAAGGCACCCAATGAAATGATAGGATAAAAGTGTAGATTACGGGAATCTAAAAAGAATAAAGGGGCATATATGTGTATGATGTAAAAGTGTAGATCGCTAAAATTAATTTTAAAAAGTAACTACTTATTTATATATATATTTACATTGATGTAGATATGGATGCTCCCTTTTGATATAAACTTGACATTTTTATTAAAACATCCTGTCTATGATTTTTATATTCTTAAACTATTTTACCTAATTCAACTCACTTAAACGTGTCATGAAAATTTCTAGTCCTTGAGAGTTATTATTATAAACCAATTAGGATATAAAGTACTGCATGTTAGTACTTTGTTATTTATTACAATTGAAATTATACTCGAGTCAAGTATGTTTTCAACATTATTTTGAATTTCATTAGCTGATTCAAATGAACATACTTTAGAGAAAATGTTTGGTGAAGTAAAGCAAACTTTGTCTTCTTGGACATTACAAATTACTTGTGAAAATATACAAAAAGGTGATTATATTAATCATTCATCATATAAAATACTTTTACAAAAATTTGAGCCCAAAAGTTAAAAATTAGGAGAGATTATTTGTGGAACCTTAATAGTTTTCAGAAATTGTTGCAAGACATTGATCATCTATATCCCAATACTGGAGTAAAAAATTGAAAAGAGTAATTAGAACCAAACCAAAAAATTTGACAAGGAGTTAAATAGTCAAAGAGAATTATTATCTAAAGCAGAGAATAAATAGTTTAGTGGAAATAAAATTATAGGAGGCACTTTTGGATTGTCTGGATAAATTATAGGAGGCAATTATGGATTGTCTGGATGTGACATTTTGTTACATTCAAGACTTTTTTTGATACAAGTTTCTCTGTAGCTTTGGAATGTGTCCTGGAACTACCTCTTCTAGACCAGGCTGGCCTTGAACTCCACCTGCCTCTGCCTCTGCTGGGATTAAAGGCTTGAGCCACCACCTCCTGGCCTTCATTCTAGACATCTTATGCTCTATGCATTCCCTATAGGAATTTTACTGCAGAGGAAAGATATTATCTTATAATCGATATTTTAAACATATAAACATACTAAAAAAATAAAAAGTTATGTGGAAAAAAATCTCAGTTGTTTTGTTTTGTTTTTTTTTTTTGGTTTTGTGAGACAGGGTTTTTGTGTGGTTTTGGAGCCTGTCCTGGAACTAGCTCTTGTAGACCAGGCTAGTCTCAAACTCACAGAGATCCGCCTGCCTCTGCCTCGCAAGTGCTGGGCTTAAAGGCGTGCCCCACCACTGCCCGGCTCTGAGTTGTTTTTAAAAAGAAAACTGAAACTTCATCTATAGCAAGAATTTACCAAGGTTAAATTGTAGCATGTTTTACTAATGTAGAAATTGAATCATTACGGAGAGGAAGTGAACATTGGCAAAGAGCTTACAGTAATTTCTTGGGAGAAATTAACAACAAATATTCCTTTAGCCATAATATTAATGATCATATAGAGAAGTAACTAATTCTAGGGAAAGGTTCCATCTAGCTTCCTATATTTAATTTTGGGTTTGAGTCTCTATCTGATATCTAGGCATACATAAAAAACACTCATTTTTTACCTCTTACAGATCGACTGCATATGACAATTAAAATGCTTAAGTTTTTTTGCAATGAAATATGAGCATGCATTACAGTGACCTGTGAAGTCTCCAAAAGAAGTGTGAGTCATGCAAGGAAGATTTCAACTGCACTATGTAATTGTTTCACCATCTAAACATCAGGTTTGGACTACAAACTGCTCGGGACAATATCAATATGGTACAGTCAGATGATTGAGACTTTTGGGAACATATGTTTTAATTAAGCAAACAGTTCATTTTGGAGGTTTGAGGAAGAGATGATGGGCAAAAACACAGACAGGTTGAATGACGGAATTGAATCAAAGACCCTGATATTAATCCTCACACCTATGAACACCTGGTTTTTGACAAATAAGCTAAAATTATACAATGAAAAAAGAAAGCATCTGCAACAAATTGTTATGCCGTAACTGGATATCAACATGTAAAGGAGTACAAATAGATCCGTATCTATCACCATGCACAGTACTCAAGTCCAAAGGGGATAAAGGCCTTAATATAAATCTAATCACACTGACACTGATAGGAGAGAAACTGAAAAGTAGCCTTCCAAGTATGGAACTAAAGACCACTTCCTAAATATAACACCTGTAAGACAGAATCTGAGAGGAACAATTAATAAATGGGACCTTCTGAAACTGAGAAGCTTCTGCACAGCAAAGGACACAGTCAATAACACAATAAGGCAGCTTATTTAATTGGAAAAAAATTTCCAATCCCATATAAGATAGAGGACTGATCTCCAAAATATATAAAGAACTCAAGAAATTAAACATCGAAATTTCAAATAATTCTATTAAAAATGGGGTACAGAACTAAACAGAGAATTTTCTATAGAATAATCTCAAATGGCCAAAAGACACTTAAGGAAATGTTCAACATCCTTAGTCATCAGGGAAATGCAAATCAAAATGACTCTGCAATACCACCTTACACCTGTCAAAATGGCTAAGATCAAAAACACCAATGACTGCTTATGCTGGAGAGCATGTGGGAGTAAGGGGAAGACTCTTCCATTGCTGGTGGAAATGCAAATTGTACAACCACTCTGGAAAACAGTATGGCAATTTCTCTGAAAATTAGGATTCAACCTACCTCAAGACCCAGCAATACAAATGGTGTGAACTCCTTTATACATTAATATTGGTTGTAAAGTAAAGGATATTCATGCTACAATCCATAGACACAGAGAGAGTTAGTTAACAACAAAGGATCAAGGGAGGGATACATTGATCTCCCTGAAAGGGGCACTAGAATTGGTCTTCTGAATTGAATGGTGGTAGTTGAGTATGGGAACAGGAGAAATCAGGATCAGGGTGCTTGGATGTAGGGAGAATGAGGAAAGACTACAGGAATTGGGGAACATTATGGAGTTGTTATGGTACATAGTACAGTAAATACTCATTAGATTGTATGAAAATGCCACTAGGAAGGACTTTTAGAAAAGAGGGATGAGAAACTTGTGGAGTCTTCTCTAATCAAGGAAAGTATTCAATGTTGGGACTGGGACACCACCCAGCAACAGTTACATCTACATCTAGTCCTGCTTGCAAGATATGTTGAGTTATTTGTTCCCCAGAACTTGTAGGAGTAAACAACAAATAACTCGTGAAACTTCAGGCCCATTCCATTAGAGGAAGACAATGCCCATCCTAATTGGATGTCAAAGACCTGAAGCTCACTACACTAAAATCTATGATAGAACCAAACAAGATAGGAAAAAAGTCCATGAAATGATTTCTCATGATATTCTGCTATTCTCATAGAATGGTGCCTCAGCCAATTGTTATCAAACTGGCCTAATCCAGGAACTCAAAGCAAAAGGGGCAGACACAGGTAGTCAAACAATAAGAGGAGCTAAGGAGACCCTGCTGCCAATGGGGAGGAAGTACCATAGCAACTGCCTCCCACCTTAGTTGAGGACACTAGGTTAACACAGCCCACAGAATCAACTAAGCAGGGGTTATTGGTGCTCACAGAGACTCATAATCCTATCGGGGCCTGTGCTAAATGCTTTGCATATATGTTATCAGTTCATACTTTGGTGTTTTGTGGGACTGCTAAGACTTGGTGCGTGTATATGTGGGGTGTACTTTAACTCAATTGACAGCTTTTGAGACCACTTTTCCTCATTCTGGGTTTCTATATCCAGGCTTTATATGGATTCTGCATAGTCTTACTTTAACTTGTTGTACCATGTATGTGGGCTGGTTTTCCATGTCTAGTTGACAATGACCTAGAGACATCAGAGATAAGGGAGCCTCAGAAAAAAAAAATGCTTCCACGGGATTCAGAAATGAGGCATTTTCTCAATGACTGATTAATGCCAGAGGGCACAGCCCATTGAGAGTTGTGTCATCCCTGGGCTGGTCCTGGGTTCTATAAGAAGAGAGGATGAGTAAGTCCTATGAAGTAAGAAAGTAAGAAGCACTCCCCCATCACATTTGCATCAATTCTTGACTCAATGATCCTGCCCTCCTTAAGTACTTCCTTGATATTCTTTAATAGTGAACAACAATATGGAAGTATAAGCCAACTAAACTTTTGTCACCCAATTTTGCTTTTTGGTCATGGTGTTTCAACACAACAGCAGAATCCCTAACTAAAACAAGACACCATGTTTTGTTGATATGTATGAAATTCTAAAGGTAAACAAAGAAGAGAGATTTGGGGGAAATGTCAGACTGAGATGAATGGAGGAAGGAAGCACTGCAGTCAAGGTAAAAAAAAAAAAGAAACAAAAGACTAATGAAAGAGAGGAATGAGGACAAGTGAGGGAAGACTGGGTCAAGGAAAGATGAAAATTCAGCAGAGTGAATGCCAAATCCTGTGGTTCTCTCTCAGGTACATGGGGCTACATATTTTGTTTGGTTGGGTTTTTGTTTTTGTTTTGTGTTTATTGGGACAGGGTTTCTCTGTAGCTTTGGAGCCTTTCTTGGAACTAGCTCTTGTAGACCAGACTGGCCTTGAACTCATAGAAATGCACCACCAGTGACTGGCTAGGCTTTATTTTCCAAGGGCTTACTTAATTAGCTCTATCCTTACTGAAGCATTAATCTAATTGATATTTAAAATAAAAACTCAGACAAGGCAGTTGTGGCACCCACCCTTAATTCCAGCACTTGGGAGGCAGAAGCAGGCAGATCTCTGTGAGTTCAAGGCCAGCCTGGGCTACAAAATGAGTTCCAGGACAGGCTCCAAAGCCACAGAGAAACCCTGTCTCAGAAAAACTAAACCAAACTAAACTAAACTGAAATAAAATAAAAGAAAATAAAATAAAAACTCAGGAGTCAGATAGCAGGATAAGAACTTGAAAGATCAGAAAATCAATTGATCAGCCACTGGTGACTACTACCTCTTCAATTTCTCCATGCAAGAAAAGAGCCCATATCTTCTCTCAAGCCTGCCTTAATAATCCTGATTCCTACCTGGACAAAGACCTCCAAACCTCTAGGGTTATTTTCCATCAGGTTGTTGTTAGCTCTGTCCCTCACTCCAAGCAAGCTTTATTATGAGAACATGATCAAAATGTCATAATTTCCCCTTTCTCACTAAATAAAAAGTGAAGGATTTAACTAACACAGTAAAGCTATATACAAAATATACAACAACTATGTACAAATATATATAGGAAACAATGACCAGTCCATTTGTGATTGGTAAATTTAGAGAAAATACTTTATTATCTATCCTATCTAGGTAAGTCCAAAGTATTGTACCTATTCATTTTTTATCACAACCTAAAATAAACTTTTTATATCTCTTAACCTTACATATTTCAAGCTAGTTTCTGAGTTGTTTCAATTTAGTAACAAAGAGAACTACAATTATCTAGTAATTAACTCCATTAGAGACCTAAGAAGGATATAATACTGAGTAAACAGAAAGTATAGTGTTTCTCTATCTCCATGCAGAAATCTCAAGTCCAAATAGATCAAAACATAAAAACAACCACATTGAACTTCATAGAATTGAAAGTGGGAAGGACACTTGAACACATTGGTACAGGAGACCACTTTTTAAATATAACCCCAGCAGCATGAACACTAATAGCAATATTTAATAGATGGGACCACCTAAAACTGAGAACTTTCTGAAAATCCGAAGAAATGTTCAATAAAATGGCAGCCTATAGGATGGAAAAAGTTCTTCTTCATCCCCACCTCAAACAGAGGGCTAATATCCAAAATATATAAAGAGCTCAAGGAACTGGTCATCAGAAGAACAAATAAGCCAATAGAAAAATAATTGTACAGAATTAAACACAGAACTCTCAAGAGATGACTATAAAATGACTGAAAGACACTTAAGGAAATGCTCAACATCCTTAGCCATTAAGAAATGTAAAAACAACTCTGAGATTCCACCTTATACCTGTAAGAATAGCCAAGATCAAAAACCTTTTGAGAGTTTATGCTGGAGAGGATGTGGGGTGAAGGGAAAACTTCTCCATTGCTGGTGGGCATGCAAACTGGTATAATCACTTTAGAAATAGAATGGTGATTTCTCAGAAAATTAAGACACAACCTACCTCAAGACCAAGCAATACCACTTTTGGGTGTATATCTAAATGATTCTCAATCATACCCCAAGGACATGTGTCCAGCTATATCCATATCAGCACTATTTGTATTAGCCTGGTAACAACCTAACCACTCCCTGACCAAAGAATGGATAGGAAAATGTGTTGCATTTATACAATGGAGTACCACACAGCAGAAAAAAATAATGACATTTTGAAATTGCAGGCAAATTTATGGATCAAGAACACATCATACTGAGTGAGGTAACCCATACCCAGAAAGACAAATATACAATGTCCTCACTCATAAGTGGATTTTAGACCTTAAGCAAAGAAAACCAGCCTACATTCTCAACCTCAGAGAACCTAGATATCAAAGAGGAATCTAAGCCAAATACACATGGATATAATCTACATGGAAAGTAGAAAAAGACAGAAGAGGAAGGGAGGAGAGCAGAGAAATGTATATATGTCAATAAAAACAATTAAAAAAAACAAGAAATGATATAAACTACCGACTGCCTGGACAGTCACCCAAGATTCCACTCTACTGTTGGACTTTTAACTTTAGCCTATACACCTAGAAGATCTGACCAAGTTTCTGTGAAGCAGGAATTTTGAAGGATTGTCCTTCTTTGCCATGGCAATGCTCAGCTGTCACTTTCTTTTGTGTCCTGCCTATCTAATTTGGACAGTATACTGTCAGTAGTTAACTCAAAGGGCAGTTTCTTGCCAGTGCCTAAGTCTTGCCAGCAAGAAAGTTATCCACATTTAGTCATTTCTATGATATCCATCATTTCTCTGAAGTAGATTGGTGTTGTCAGGAACAGACATGTCTTGCCATAAAAGCCTTATATAATCATAACATCTTAAAAGACATATTTTGAATAGAATGCCATATTTTGAATAGAAAATGCTTGATGACTTATTTAAAATGTATTTTTGGCCAGGGAGTAATGGTGCATGTCTTTAATCCCAGTACTTATGTGGCAAAAGCAGGTTGACCTCAGTGTGCTCAAGGCCAGTATGGTCTACAAGGTGATTTCCAGGACAACCGGAGTAATACAAAGGAACCTTATCATGGAAAAAATGAAAATGAAATGTCTTTTTGTTTCACTCTGAATGCCTACATAACATAAGTATGACTATAATATGTAACTATTAACTTGTAAATTTATTAATTTAAATAGCTTATAATAGTAATTTTCAGGACTAGAGATTCATTTTACATCGTAAAGTGACTTGTTGGGCAGAAAAACTTACATAAGAGTAAAAATGTAAGCCGGGCGGTGGTGGCGCGTACCTTTAATCCCAGCACTTGGGAGGCAGAGGCAGGTGGATCTCTGTGAGTTCGAGTCCAGCCTGGTCTACAAGAGCTAGTTCCAGGACAGGCTCCAAAACCAAAGAGAAACCCTGTCTTGAAAAACCAAAAAAAAAAAAAGTAAAAATGTATGTTCAGTATGTTTTATCAAAAATAACCTTGAATTTCCATTAATATACAAAAAATATGTTAAATAAGATTAGAAACATCTACAATATAACAAAAATAATCTCAAATATGTATTAATATACAAAAATCCATACTAATGTAAAATATTTAATAAAAATAGTTTTTTATTTAAAGTCAAATTAGTAATCTATCATTTATCCTATATTCTCTATATCTTCCAATTTTCTTTTCAGAACAAGATAATTAAATGTTATCTCCTTTGTTTATATTTTTTACCATTACCCATAGTAACTTGTTACCACCTCCACCTCAATGATGACATAAATCATGACCTAATGGATGACCAAACTGCTTACCCCAACACTTGGGAATATGGGAACCATGCTTTTAAAATTATTTTTGATGTCTGTGAGCAATGACATCTATAAGGGTCCCTGAAATAAACCCAGGATAATTTCAATTCATGGGAGAATTGCCTGTATTATCTCCTGTCCAGTCTTTGTGTAATGGGAAAGTGGTGGAATTATCTCAAGTTCTGGCTAGTGTAGTGTATGAGGACCATCTTAGATAGTAATCTTGGAATTGTCCTGAATAATTTATAGCCCAAAGCTGACCTTTGGAGGAGGGTAGTCAGTTTAGTGGCATTACCACACTCAAGAAGGATTCAATGGTGTGGGGCCCTATGCCCGTCTTTAAGATTTTAATGGTTACCACTAAGAATAATTGTGGTTTACTATAGAAAACCTTTTAAGTGCCGTATGGAGTAAAGCTCAAAGCAGTTAAAGGAGCACAGATTTTTATTTATATACAGAATTCAAAAACTTAATTTTAAGTTACTTGAGAGAGATTTAGACCCAAAATCATGAATAGGAATTAAGAAGAAGCCTTTTATTTAAATTAGATTTTAGATGTAGTGCATACTGATCTTATTCATAAATCCTGTAGTCAGATAGTAGGGCTGAAAGCTGAAAGATCAGAGAAGCACAGCATCTGGCCACTAGTTTTAGCTCTATAAAATTCCCAGTCCAATGTGGGAGCCCAGGTGTGACTCAGTTTCCATCTGGAGTCTTCTCAGACTTAAAGATTCTATTTGAGTCTGAACATGCCTGCTGTTCTTCTTCTAGTAACCTTGAGGGCTGTGAAGAACATCTGTGTTATCCAACAGAGAAAGCATTTTGCCCAGCTCAAAGAGCCCATTTTTTCTATTAATATTTGGGCTAGTGTAGGCCAGCCAGGGGCACCCCTAG